TTGCAGCTGAGCTTCTGAGTCTGAATGCCTCAGTCCTGAAGGATGACTGCTGCAGGACGGAAAATATGTGAGCTCAGGATCATCCTAACCTGATTTTACTGCACATGGGTGTGCCCTTAATTGTGCTGTCAAGGGCAGAGCATTCACAAGTCTCTCTCACGGCCACATCCAACAAGAAAACTTATTATCTCTCCTAAGTATTTGACTGAATGCAGGTAATGGGGATAATGTAGCTCTGCCCTTGAAAAACCAGCCTGCAGTCTGCTCTCCATAGGAGTTTTGGACATTCAGAACCTTGCTACTGATTAGTTAGTATCAGCTTTCTGCATCATAATTGTTTTCTTAAAAACAAATTAAAAAAAAGAAAACAAAAACACAAAAATACAACTTCATATGGTGATGACACTGCTAATTAATTTCTACAGAAAAAGTTAGAGGAAAATGAAATAATCATATCTTAACCAGCTCAGAAGGTGGCACATAAAACTGTACACAAGGGCACAGTTCAGATCATGAAAGAGACAGGTCAGTGTCTGGAAGAGAGAATTACCTTTCTTGTTTAAGGATTTACAACATACCTCAGCTCCTTGAGACTTTTCCTGCAACCAAGGACAGATCACAGTGCTGATACATTTCTTTTAGTACTAGAGAATGGACTGCACAATCATACTTGTTCTCAGAAATGGATAGTTCTGGAGGAACCAAATGGACACTTGAAAAAAAGCAGATTTTTTCTGGAAAGGAATGCCATATTCAGTCTGTTGAGCACCTTTTGTCTTAGTGTTGCCAGCAATAAATAGAAGAAACAAATCTTCTGAAAATTCTCATCTGAAAATGCTGATGCTTCTGAGAAGATCATCTAGACAGACATTCTCTTCCTCACTGTATGGCAAGAGATTGCAGCATATGGAAATGTATTATCAGACAACTGCCTCAAATGCCAGCCTTCTTCTTTCCTCCTTCATAAGGCACCAGTTTCAAATAACTAACAGAATTCTCACAGAAACTGTGAAGTGTGAAACTACCTGGATGAATCCCCTCATTGATCTCTGACACATGATCAGTCTGCTTACAATGAGGACAAAAGGATTTATGCCATTTCTGCAAAACTTGGATGATGCATGGAGCTCTTAGCTAGAATGATCACTGCCTTTTGATATATAGGCTATCCATCATCTTCTCTCCATATGTCCAGACACCCATCTGTCAGGGAGGCTGATGTCAGCAAATTCAAAAAGGGGCTGTTATGTTAGTGTAGTTTTGAAGGTGGCATTACGTGAGGGCAAACAGGGCAAAAGATTTTGGTCTGATTCTGCTGTTATGCCCTGAACACTCACACTGATTCATTACCAGTAAAGAGGTCAAGTATATCCTTTAATATTGTAGTCACTGTATTTTTCACTGCTCCATTAAAAACTCATGAAGAGAAATTTTACAAGACCTTGTATACTTATTTCATAAGGCTTCAAAAGAAGGATTTGACTAAAGAGAGTCAAATACGTCCAAGATAAAACTCATATTTTCTTATATTTGTAGCTTCATGGCATTACAAATCCTTTTGCTATGCTTGTAGTGACACTTATGTTTTAATGTCCTCAGTGCAGAGCTACCCAGGCATTCCTCACGCACCCAGAAGATGTTGTGAATGCAGCTGAGCAGAAACCCTTCTCAGCCACAGTGTTCCTTGTGCAGGAACACTGCAAAAGATCTAGCTGTAAAGGAAAAGTGATGTTTCCAGTGATTTTATTTTCTTTCACTGTTAACCCAACCTTTCAGTAAATTACAAGGCTCTCCAGGTTTGGATGTTTCTATCACACCCAAGTCATATTTCACATGACAGCTATTATGACATCTTGTTTATCTGCACTTAGAAATTGGAAGGCTCAGATCAGCCTATCTTATGCTGTCTAAACATTTATTTTGCAGACATAGCTTTAAGACCTCCTCCTAAAACATATCTCCTCCCAGTACTTTGAAGGTGACTTTAGATACAGATATTAGCAGGGGAATTCATTGGAGAGCACTACACATTTTAAGAGGCAAACATCAAGGAAAGGTAACAACAAAGCTCAGTAAACCTCATGTGACTATTAGAAATTTTTGTACTCAGTCAAATAAGATATAAGGCTAACACTGAGCTCTCAATCAATGTGTCATCTTCTCCACAGCTGTGCTTGCACACAATAAATAGATGCCTTAACCTCATTTTGGGACTGAGGAAAAGTCCTGACCTCAGACCCAGGCAGGAGTAGGCCTTGGCAGAGTTGGGCAGCTATGAAACACCCACCAGCCCTGGGCACTGCTGCAGCTGGTCAAGCACCACAGCCAAGGCAGGGATTACACTGTTCAGTGTGGTGACAGACTGCTTCTGTCCTTGCTGAAAGGCAGTCTTCTGTGCCAACTCTGGAGTGAACAATAAATGGTGGGAAAGGGGAGAGGGAATGGATGGCCAGGATGGTCTTGCTGATCTGTTGGCTGAAGCAACTGCCCACTTACCAGAAACAAGTGCTGCTCATTTTTTGAGGCCAGTCTGTGCTCAGGTGAGAATGGACAGCCAGCAGAGGACATTAATATTACTCTGAAGAAATGACTTTTCAATGAGGTGACAATGAGGTGATTGATACTTATATAGGGAGTATCTGGATTATTTCCTCCAAGCTCCCTCAGATTGAGAGAGATGTTAATAACAGGGCAGGTACTGAAGTCAAATACATTTCAGTCAGTTGATGTCTGTTTTGACAGGATCATGTTCTAAAGTTGCTCTTCTAATAAATGTTGAAATGTCAGGAAAAGTTGGGGAATAATTACAATTTTAAGCAGAAAACATCACTACTATGCTAGAAGTAATTGACTTAAAGTAAAATTTAATTAAAAGCATGTGAGCAAAAAAATCTTAGAATGATGAAACACCCATGTTGGAAGAAACCTCAAAAATCATCCATTCCAACATTTGTGGGTAAGGGAGTCTAGATGATTATCCAGCACCTCTCCAGTTGAAAATCTGTTAACAGAGACTCCACCACATCCCTGGGGAGGTTGTTCTAATGAATAGTTGTCCTAACTGTAAAATGTCTCTTTATTATGTCAAAATGAAACTTCTCCTTATGTTGGGTGTAGATAGATGAACAATAAGAAGAAAGGCTGAATATAGCTGTTGTATGTAGCAGCAGAATGTAATCAATAATCCTTAATTTGAGGGTTGAGTTTTTTTAAGTTAATTTAGGGTCTACTGAGTTCTTCACAGTGACACAGCAAGGTATTTGTACCTCAAAAGCCATCTGTATATATATGTATAAAAAATATGCTGGTATATTATCTAATTGCCTGTCTTTGTTGGGTCTTTCTGAAGTTTACTCTACCAGTCTCTGCTGGCTGGTTTGTATCACCTCTCTGCTTGGTCCCTCTTTCCAGGGTGTGAACAAAAAAGTCATTTAGGTTTATGAGGGAAAACCTGATCTTTGCAGGCCCATGCTGTTGCGGTTTATTTAGCTGTTGTCTGCCTTGTGTTTCCAGATTAATTCCCTTATCATTTGGTCTGTTGTTTTTGGCAGTACTGATGTCAAACTATGTGATAATGTTCTAGACTTTGCTCATCTTTATTGCAGATGTGGTACCATATTTTCCCTCTGGGTTGTTTTGTTTCTAATTGATTTTAGTTAAGTATGTGATAAAGGTACCTTTGCTTGTCTGAAGTTTAAAAAACGTAGCAGAGGTGTGACCTTGCTGCCTTGTGATATATCTTGAGCAGAGGAAAGGTACACAGGTCTGAGGGGTGAGCATTCCCTTCCAGGGGATGCTGGCTCCTCAACACACATCAGCTAACATCCTTGGACACAATCCTTACTCTGTTTATTTTACAAACATACACATAAAATCCTTTCCCCTCAGAACATAATGGCCACATCCAAACCGAAATCTGGATGCTGGCAAGGCGCCCGAGTCCTATGCCATATGCCATGCTCCTGAAATGCACATTTTCTATATTTTGTTTTGCTTAAAACATAGGACCAGAATAGGTCCCAGAGGGTCCCTAGGGGCTCAGTCTGGATTTTGTGCTGTATGTGCTCCAGCCTGCAGTTCTATATTGCCAGCAGTCAGTTACTTGTATTGATAATGGGGAAGATATGGAAGAAACAAACATTTTAAAGTAAGAAAATTCTCTACCAGCTGGCAAAATGATGGAAGAAAAATCCATCTTAAAGTTTAGCCTTTTATATTTACTTTTGTGTATTAGAACTCTTCTGAAAATCTATCCTCAAAAACATCAAACTCGATGCAAGATGAAAATCACAGTTACCATTGGCAGCAAATAAAACAGATGACATGTCTTGAAAACTTCAAGCTCATTAAAAAAATCTTCAGGAACTACTTAGCATCTGTATCTGAACTTCGCTCCTAATAATTCGTGCATTGAACAAACGTTGTGCCTTATAGTGGTGGCTGTATTTTATCTGAGAATTGAGCTGTCAGATTAAATCTCCTCTTAATTCCGAAATGACAGCATTTTCCTTCTTTCTAATTGCCACCCTGAAAAATTAACTCTTTTCTTTTATTCACTTGTTTTATATTTATAGCTTCATCACCTTCTTCCCCAGAAATTTTCTTTCTCATTCATTTTCTCAATTTATTTATGTCTCAACATTGCTCCCTTTCTGTGTCACATTTCTCCTTCATTCCAGGCACATTTTGTAAAAACATAACGATGTCTCCCAGTAGAAAACTGCATTAAGCTGAAGAGTATGTGCTGCTTTATGATAACTCAGATAAATATCTGAAAGAATTAATAATTGTATCCAACCTGGAATACTGTTTATCTGTCTTCCTCAGGCACAGTTAAACTGTCTCAAATAAAGATATTGCACATAGATTAGAATTAGGGATGTATTTTGTAAATCTTCCTTGAACTTCATCTTTTGATACCTAGAAAAAAAAGTTTGATCAGTTGTATTTTTTTTTATGGGACATGGACATATTTGTGAAATAAATTTATTTCCTCACAGATGTGATTGATGATAACACCAAGAAACAAGTTTACTGGATGTGAGTCTTTATCATCTTTGGAGTAAATGTGAGACTACTGTTCAGCCTAGTCTTTCTGATCCAGGGGAAGAAGGCAAGTGGGTGTTTGAACTAATACTGTTCTTTAAGACACAGAAAATATTATTTAGAGAAGAAACACAGATTGACTAATAGAAAAGAAGAAATAACCCTCTTGTTTCCTTAGTGGTACTGGACTTAAAGTTGCAGAGGGATATTAATAAAGTATTGAAAAATATGCCATATAAATCCTCATAATTTTTTGATCAGAGCTTACTTATTTTTTTATAGCCTATTTAAGTCATAAATTAATAATGACAGATTGATATAACCCATCCATGTATACATACAGACCTTTTTACCCAGTCAACAGAAAGGCTACAGAGAACTTGAGCAGTATCAAGAGAGATGGATGCCTTCACAGAAGACATACAGGGAACTGGCTATCTTTGGAGCAGGTACCTATTAGATAAACGTGTTTTGTTTAGAATGCATGTCTTTTAAACTCATTAGACTTCAAACCAGAATATGAAAAGCAAAAGAAAGAAAAATGTGCCACAGTGAGCTGGACTGCTGAGTCATCTTATTGATTGCTTTTTAGATTTAGATTTATCCATTGTTTCTTTTCTGAAGACCACCTGTATGACACTACTACCAACATTTAACATCTTCACAAGAAAAATTCATTTCAGAAGTTGTGTCTTCTGCACTAAGCCAAGATGTTTCACCTGGGTGTGAAAGTCAGTGGGTTGGATACTGAGCTCAAGAAGCAAATGTCACCTGAAAAGTGCATGTCTACTGTTCCTATCAAAAGAATATATACCTGGTCTGATCTATTGCTTACAATGTTCCAGGTCTTGAAATTCAGTCTAAGGCAGACCATCTGCTAAATATTATAAAGTGATTGCTATATGGACTACATTTCAACTCTATGGTATCAAAATGACAGTTTTTATTTTGGCTATTCTCCAAGCCTTTCCAATATGCCTTCCATTTCCTTTGCCTCCTACCAGTTACATAGGCCATCTGTTTTCCCAGTGAAAGTTAAAGAGCCAATATATGAAAAGCACAAGCTCCTTTTAAAATAACTTTCCCACTGTTTTGTATTCATGTAATTTCATAATGATCAGACTCTGTTTCTTGTTGCTCTTCCTTAGTGCAGGCGAGATTTGTTAGCTTTCGAGGGTGTTGTTGTTAAGTAAATGTTGTTTGAGGTTTTCCCTTCAAGTGAAGCTCTCTGAGAAGACATCAGTTGGAACAATCTGGCGTTCTTTCATGAAGATTTTCTCTCTGGTTTGAAAGTGACATATGTGTAGGATGAAAATTACATATTTCTTCAAGAGTATATGTTATTTTCGGCTATTGTGATCTGTACATTCTGTTCATGTTCTATAAAAGATGAATGTAAAAGCCTTTTCTTTCTTTTTTTGAAGTTCTTGGAGAAAGTCTGCACTATTCACTCTGATACTACAGAAAGAAATTCTGTCCCAGAAATGTATTAAAAAGTAACATGGAACAGATTCTGTTGTGCAAGAGAAATAATAGATACATCCCAGCTGGGTTCTCGTACTCTCTTTATTTTCATTTACTTTCATCCGATCAATTCTTTGCAGTTCTGTCTGGTTGCTGATATGGTACATCAGGGAAATTACAGCTGATTTCTAAAACCTATTTCACGGAAAGCACTGAAGGAAACTAAAGACTCAGCACAGAAGTGACAGAAAGAAATAGCTTTCCTGCTCCCTCATCTATAAAGGCTGTACTGCAAATCGCTATAAAAGCTCCCTTCCTTAATTACTGAAATGTTAGGGATGTTGCTTAAATAATGACTTTGAAAGCAGGGGATTAGGAAATAACTTTTCTCAAGGTTTTGATATAACCGGCAAAACCTTAAAAATTCCCAAAGTCATAAAAAATAGATGAAATACCTTCTAAGGCTTTTGTATCAGATCTGCGCAAAGGTACAATTACTCATATAAAGATGTTGATGGTAATTTCACTCTCCTTTCATATACATAAAGAAAAGCACATTATAGGGGGATAGCTAATCTATAGAGAAATGTGTGCTTCTAAGCTCTATGCCAGATGTAAGAAATTAAAGGAAATTAATCTGAAAAATGCATTCTCGTTCTATCACTGACTTCTGAAGTGTAAGTTAACCACTTCCCTAGGTTTCATCTTTTTGAAGACAAGAATGAGCACCTCATTTCAGGAAAATGAGATGCTGTTGAAAAAGATGACACTGCTTATGAAAGAGATGTAAAAATTCAGACAAACAGAGTATAAGATCCCTCTTCTGAGTTTTTCCTATATTTCACACTTTCCCCAGTAAAGCAAATCAAGAATTTGGAATAAGGTTTCTCCAGTGATAGCTAATCAGTTTCAAAATGGCAGTTGTACAGGACTTTTTGTTGTTGCTGTAAATATATATACTGTTATATATATATATATAAACACTGTTATATATATATATATATAGTTATAGCAGTAGGTATGCTATATAGCATGATTTGACTTATTATAGGATACAGACAACATATGAATAATTAACCTTTAATGCCAGCAAAAAATGCTAATAATACTATCCATTACATAAAGAGATTTTTGCCTCTGATTTCCAGCTTAGACCAGTATAAATGCAACAGATTCAAAAAGTATTCAAGATTGAATGAAATTAACCAAACTCGTGGGCAGGTTTTTAAAATATAGATTTATAGACCTAATGAATAAAGTGAACAAAATAAAATTACTTTCCATGGAGAGCTACAGGACCTTCATCAAACCTCAGGGAATGGCAGGCTGTGATGCTGCTTCTCAATGCCATCTGTTCTTTGGGTTTGAAGTGATTTATGGGAATTGTTCTTGTTTTCCTGTTCACAGTTCAACTTCAGAAGTATGTGCTCAGGCAATAAATGAAAGTCTAAGCTCATATATACTACCACTAAAATATACTGTCCTGAAAAAGATACAAAATATGTTGAATATAGAAGCCTATTTCAATAAAATGTTACTTACTTCAGTATATGAACACACTGAAAATATACTACTCCTCCTTGCTTCCATCTCACCAGGGACTTTGGGTAGATATTCAAAGTATATATCACTTAAATAGTTTTAATATTACTGAAAAAATTACATCAATCTTCATGGGAATGAGACTGAGCCAACACTGAGTATTTATTAATATCTCTGCTTCTTCTCACATTTCTTGAAATTCTTGTCTAAAAATAATATTGTCCCACATCATCCAATTATATGATACTGGGCTCTGCAGTATTGTTCAAACATGTTTTTTATGCTGTTGGAGGATGGTTTTGCATTCAGAACAACCACTGGTTTCAGAATTGGATTTTATTTTCTTAGCTCAGGTTTGGAGCACGCGATTTTATTTTCATGTATTCCATGCCACTGGCATATAGGCAGGTCTCTCCTGAGATGTTAGGTAGCAACAGGACTTTGTAGGAAAGGGTGAGTTAGTATGGATTATAGTATTCAGTTTCCCATCCTGAATCTCTGCCCATCAGGGAAGAAGTGCTGAACAGTTGAATCTGGCCAGATGATGGCAATTCCAGTTAGAATCCACTTGAGACGTTTCAGACTTCACACTTGTTTTGTGACAGATCAAAAGGCTTACAGTAACTGTCACCAAGCTCAACACACCTGTCCTTTGGAAATAAAGCTGCAGGTCCTTGAGTCCTGAGCCTCAAATCGACTTCCAGAAGTGTTTGCTCCACCTTCAGCCTGGAGATCATGGCATGAGACACCTGCCTTTGATTCCTTGCTGGAATGCATTCATAATGCATCCATCTCAGTTCTTTCCAACTGAGGCAGTGCACAAATCTCAGCATGAGCTTCCCATACTGTCAACAGATTCTCAGTCACTTGGCTAAAGGATTTGTAGGTTAGTGTTCTGGTGAACTCTGTGTTTATGACGATTTTTGGTGAAGCTCCTACATCTACTTGAATGACAATTGCAGTTCAATTTGGTTTAAAAAAAACACACATTTATAAAATGTTGGTTTTGTACTAACTCAAGGCAAGTCTTACTCAAATCATTAAAAATTTTCTTTATGAGAATAAAGGCCATAGTGAAAAAAACACTGTTTTGTTGTCCCATGGAAACTGTAGAAGACAGTTTCCCAGTGAAACTGGGAAATTTCCAACTGGCTGCATTTGTCTTTCAGGCTCCTAAGAGAGCCAGGAGGATGCAGCAAACAACATTGTGACAGCATGCTGCCATCCTTAGGAAAAGGCTGATCATTATTCACCGTTTCAGCTTTTACATCTAAACTTGCCAAGATCTATTTACAATTAAGATTTTACTTTTCTAGCAAATCCAGGGTGTGATCTGTGTACTTTCTCTCCTAAGTCAGTAACTTAATGAAAGGGACTATGAGCCGTTTAATTTTTACTAGTTGACAAAACTAGGAGTTTTGTTGCTTTCCCCATTGTTTCCATAAGCTGGATCAATGCCAGCCTCACCTGCCTCCTTTACAAAGATTTAAATTTTGTTTTAGTCCCTCACCTCCATTACCCACTTCATTGTTTCTCCATTTTTGCTTCTTTCACATCATGTCTTTTCTTCTTGCATCCGAAACTACCAGTTTCCATCAATATTAAAAGTATGTCCAATTCTATAAGACATTAAGTTTAAAACCCTTCTGTATGCAGTGAGAACTTGGTACATACAAAGATTGTAGAATCATACCCTAGTAAAATACAATTGCAAAATGCTTAGAAAATATGAAGTACATTTGTGAGCATAACTATTTTGCAGGAAGTAGTAATGTCCTGGAATAGATTGATGGAATTTCATTGTATTGATAGAAATATATCCTTCAGTGAAAATCACAAATTCAAATCCTTCTTGTCTTCAGTGGCAGAGATTATTTAATGAGTTCCTACTTTACTTCACGATGAACTTCCTACCAATAACAGATAATTTTTAATTACGCTAGGTATTTTATTCTTAAACTTCAAATCCTTTGTGTTTATTCAGAGCATAAAGTCTGAGGAGAGCACATATTTTCATAACAGTTTTTTTTAATACAGTGACAGATGATACTCATATTTCCAAAGCATCAAATGTAACAGCTTGGTTCTATTTAATCATCTGGATTTTTTTGTTTCATTTCACATTGAGTTGTAATTGCACGTTAGAAAAAAATTCTAAATATCTGACCTAATGTCCCAGTAAAACAAATTATTTACTGAAGAAACACAAAACTTAATATTTGGCAGGTACAAAAATGCATTAATTTTGTGAAACATCATTTTTGTTGTTCACCAATTGCCCCAGACTATATCATCAGTTCAGAAGGAGCTGGCTTAGCATCTTAGAATCTGAGCAGCAACATATCTTTTTGCCTTCCTCAGTACTTGGAAGTTTTCCATTACACTCTCCTGGCCCTTTCTAGATGCCTGCATTAATCATATTTCTGCTTTCCTTGTTAAAATAGCAAGGACTTCTGTGAGGTGGGATGAAATAAATAGGAAAATATGAAACACATTTCTCAGTGTGAGAAGATTCTAATGTAAGTAGTTAATGAAATATAACCTGAAACATCTTCAAATGTCTGGTACCAACCTTATGCAATTGAAGAATGCAGAAGGAAAACTGTTTAAGTAACCATCCAATATACAGGAAAGTTTAAAAACAAAAAAGGCGTCCAGTCTAATTCTAATTTCAGTCTGAATTTAGCATGGCTCAACTCCTTAAATTTTTCAGCACACTTCAATTAAACAGGAAACACCTGTAGCAATGCTCTTCACCATGTTTCAGTCTAATTCAAATAGAAATCACTTAATAAGTTTAGTACTCAGAACACCTGCTACCTTAAAACATATTCCTTTGAGACACTTTTACTCTAAGCTTTCCTATATCTTCAAAAGACTGTGAATAAAGCCATGGCTCTTTCAAGAGCTTAATATTCCCTGAGATAAAAGTGGAGAATGCATAAATTGTTCTTTGTGAAAACAGGATGAGAAATTTGACAGCTTACCACCTAAATCATCTCTGTTTGGATGTGGAACTCAGTTGTACATCCTGCACAAAGAACACATAAATTTATCACAGATTTTGTTAGGTGATGTTGGACAAAACCAGAGTGCCTGGTCTTATAAATAATGAATCCTATTTTTTCTGCCATTCTTTAAGAGTTCTGATGTTCAAAACTGTCCCAAATTCAGCAAAGTATTTACATTCCTAAGTCCTGCTCTGTGGACAAAGGCAATGACTAATTATGGATATTTCAGTGGTGTCTTCCCATGCTTTTTTCTTCTCTCAGTGATAATGGGATAACTTTGTGTAGGTGATCCAGTAGGGCAGCTGTCTCATTAGTTTTCCATTTTGCTGGACTCAACTGACTAGGAAATAATTTTGCAAGTGAATTGTGCCTCTTAGGTCCATTAAGATTTTTGGCAGAGCAGGACATCGATGACCCCTTTCAGCAATTCAGAAAATGTTGAACTGTAGAAAAATGCTAGAGGAGACAGTCCCCAGAATCAAAGAATATCACAGAGCCAGGCAAAGGGTGGAAGAATTGGGATCTAATGGAAGTAGTTGTAATAAATGTGAGCTTAGAGGTAGAGTCAATGAGACTTTCAAGCTTTCTCTCTAGAGGACATGGCTGGAACATCAGTTCCAGGATGTGAACTGCCTGGATAGGAACAAGTTCTGTGCTCAGCCACCCATAGGCATCCAGCACTTCCCAGGGGACAGTTGTGCAGTCAGCAGCCCTTGCACCTGGTCTGCAATTCAGCCTTCATATAAACAAATGTTGCTTCACAATCCTACCTTTTAAAAGAAAAAACTAAAGTATTCCATTCGTCATTTTTAAAAATGGCAATAAATTCAGAGCATTGGTGCTTCTCTTTTGGGGAAAAAAACCCCCCATGACCCAAGCACAAAATATCCCACACAAACATAATGTTTCATATTATTGGCTAGCATACTGAATACACAAGGGTAAAATGCAGTCCACAAGATGAAAGAGATACAGGGTAGAACTCATTTTGCATCCTATCCTCTTTGTGCATGTAGTCATACTGCAATATGCACAAAACTTCTTGGTTAGGAGCATGAATTAAAGTCAAATAACAATTAGAGAATGTGTATAAACAGTTAAAATTTTTAATTAATGAAAATAAGGTATGGGAACTGGAGAAGAATTAATTTCTCGGGTGGCTTAGCATCTATTCTTTATATTCTCTAATTAATTTTTTAGAGTATATCCAATGCTTCTTGTTTCCTTGGCTTTTCATTTTGCCATTAATAAATAATTTTAGCATGGTACAACATGTCAGCTTTACTGATCCTCACAGATGTTTTGTGCATCTGAAAATATTTGGGTTTGTATTGGGGCTGTATCCCAGGAACAAGAGCCCATGATTTATCTCTGTGTAGTTGAATATATAACAAGCTGCACTAATCACAGAACATTATTATTTAAGTGATAGCCATATATATTCATTCTCCAAACACAGACTAGTCATTTGAAAACCAACATTGCAGATTAATGTGATTCTGCATAGCAAGGAAGGGCTTTTGTCTCTTCTGGCTCTTTGCTTTCCCGTTGGGGCTCCCACGCCAACTGCCAGAATTCCCACTCTTCCAGCAGTTATTCATTTCAGCTGCTCACTGCCTTCTGTCTTCTCTCATGCTTTCCAAAGCATGGATTTTTTTTCCAGAATGTTGTTTTTTTGTATTTTTTTATGAATTTGCATCGTTCATATATGTTTTTCATAGTGTCTGTTGTTTATGTTTTTCCTCAGAAGATAAAGACTGCTCTTTAAAGTTTTGTAATTTCTGTGTTTCAGGCTGTTTGCTGCAGACAGTGACTGAGAGCCCAAGAACTGGACAGAAGACAGAGACACAGATATATGTTCCACGTGATGTATGTCTGTCCAGACCCTATGCAAGCTGTCCAAGACAAAAGGATCAGCTTAGAGTTATAACAATTTCTATACAAAAATATTTTTAGACCCTGGCATAAAATAATACACTGTTTTTTTAAAAAAATAAATATTTTTAGTGTGGAAATATTGAAATTGGATATCCAAATATGTCATCAGGATTGGTTGTAAATGGTAGAAAGTGTGTCATGACTAATTCTTTCTGGATGCTTCTGGAGGCTTTCATTTCTTTTCAGTCATGTTTTTGTATTTATTAGGTACCCAACTGCTAAACTGTTTCAGCAAAGTGTTTGCCTTAGCAAAGTGATAGTGGCTATGGTAGATGCAGAAAAGAAAGATAAGGCTGTGTTAATTAATAGAAGGAAAAAAAAATAAAGGTTAAGCATAATCACTGTCTTCTGTTAAGAGAAAAACATGCTGTGTGTTGAAGCACAGCTTGGAAGCACTGAACCAAGTCAATCAATATATTCATGAGGAAGAACAAGTAAGCTAGTAAAAATCAGTATTTCACCATCTTCCTTGGCTTCCTCTGCTCCTCAAAGCTCTGTAAGACAAACCTGCTTGCCTGGAGTTGGAGCAGAGTTAGATGGGAGCACTGAGATTTCTAATCTGCTTCTAAAATACATGTATCTGTTTCTAGAAGGTATTTATTTGTTTTCTTAGTATTTTGTGGAAATCTCTGTTCACTAGACCTGAGGATCTGAGGATCTAGTAAATTCAGAAACAAGGTGTGAGAGTAGAGCTTCAAAGTGGTGTGAATTATGCTGTTATTTCACTGCTCTATTTCAATTTTCAGCAAAGTGCCATCTGTTACTTGAAATCATATGGAGTATACTACGAGGGAAAATTTAGAGGCTTTCCATCCACCGTGTTAGAGTAGCATCCTTTGGAACCTTAAAAACTGTGACAATGAAAGTTTGAGTTTTAGTATTGTTCCTTCTAGGATTGCACATTTTTTAAATGTGAGGCGATTTTGGATTTCCTGGCTTTTGTCTGAAAATACTTTAATTTGCCCTACTCATTCTGCCTCTAACATCTACTAATCTATGTTGAACTGTTGAAAGAAATATATTTCCTTTGTTAAAGAGGCACATGGAGGTCTAAAGTTATTCCTTAAAATATTTTTTACTGTACTGATTAATAGACTAATGAGAGGGAAAAATACATGACATTGGCCACTACTCCTAAAAATACTGAATAAGAGTGAAAAACTTCACATTATCATGATTAATTTATATAATAACAGAAATATTATTAGGATATTATTGCATCAACTCCAATTAAGCCATAGATTCACTATTGCTTATATCACATACTTGGAATCAGGAATCTGAGAGTATTTATTGTTTATCTGGTGGCAGTCCTGTCATGGTTGTGGTTTGGTGAATGCTGCCTCACTAGTTTGCAAGTCTAACTGCTGACATAAGTCATTGCTATTAGCTTTTATTTTACATAGCCAAATGGATTTTCCCCCCTCCCACAATTAGTGTTATTCCTATGGAATATTACCTATGGCTTTAGAAAAACTGAAATTTTAGAGCCTTTAATGCAGTTTTCACAACCTGATGTTCCTGGTAATTTAAATATTAAAAACATGACTTATAAAGTAAATATATGCTATTCTTATCCACAGGGAGAACATGGTATAATTAATTTTTACTCTTTTTTTGCCTTGACAACCTAAACTTGATGGCTTAGTATAAATTCTAATTATTGGAGAAAAAATGACAGATTCAGGATGCAGAAGAGAAGGAAGAAGCTAAAAGCAAAGGACTATTCCCAGGATAAGGAAGCCATCAAAATGCTAATAATCCCTGTTCCAAAAGGGTATTATTGTTTCTTTTTTCAGCTGTATTTGTAAACACAAACATCTGAAACAATGGTTCCATCTGCACAGACTAAAAAGCTCTATGTCCAAAATGCACATTGCTTCAGAACCTACAGAGAATAAAAAGCCCTGCTTAGTTACTCAGCATTCAGAAAATAACACTGGACTGAAAATAAACAAAATTCTCTAGAAATCTAAAGTTTAGGTAGAAAACCAGCTTTGTACAGAAACTATTCTGATCCAACTAGAAAGGAGAGGACTGGCTCTCCGTGTGATCTCAGTCTGGTGGTTGTTCCAATGCGGGTAATTAGTAACCTAACATGACCTTCTAGGAGTTCTCAGAAGGAAGGAGAATTGTCTAATTTACCTGATTATTTGACTGGCAGGCTGTATTTTGAGAGAAGAGAATTGAATCGCTGCAAGTTCTCGATGTCTCATTGCAGCACTTCTTAAAAATTGTAAGGGAAACAGAAAAAAGGAATGGATAGGGCAAAAGAAAAGAAAAACAAAACAATAAACCCAAACTCAAGGAAAATCAGGAGAGGATAACTCTCGGGTGAATACAGGACTGAGTTGAAAGAGCACTTCTAACTCTCGCCTCAAGGAACATTCCTTTAGCTTTGGTTGCAGAGCTACAAAGGCAGCAAGGTAGTCTCACTGTCAGTGGCAAGCTCACAGCAGAAGCAGAACCAACAGTCTGAGTCTTATTTGTTCATCATGCAGGTCAATAAAACATGTATTTATCAACACAGATCTTTAAAATAAAGGAAAATAACTAACTGTACAAATGAATATTTTGAGAAATGGCTTAATGAAAACATTTGTGTAGGAAAACGGAAAATTCAACACCCTCCTTGAAGATTTATTTTCCTTGAAATGCCAGTAGAGGGGGTTTTCTTTTTTTTGAAACATTTAACAGAATAAATAAAACTGTCACTTGAGAAAAGGGAGATGTGAGCAGGTGTACATGTGTGTTACTTTGTTTTATGTAAGTCACTTGAACAGACTTTGTGTCTTCTAGGAAAGGGACAGAGACGTTTACATGAAATCAATCAAACATGCACCATTCTTTGGGGTATATCATATAGACATGATATACCTCAAAGAAGAATTAGCCTAGGTATATGTATGGATAGATTATAGATAACCTGCTTATAAGCAGTCCTGCCTTGTGTTTGTGGTGGGCAGGCATGACAGATTTCACTGCCTAAAGCAGAAATATGGAAATGTTTCAAGAACTTTATCTTAGTCTAAGGCAAAGAAAAAATGAGAATGGAATTTTCACTTTATTAAAATAGTGAGCCTATGAAAATGAAAAATAATTTCTGCAACATAATTGATCTGCAATGTATTTGTTACATTGAGGAAAAGCAAATTTCCCTTCAAGTCGTTAACCTCTATAGAACTGATGAAAATAAATTTAGTTTTAGTGTTTTGGGGCATAATTACTTCACAAAAAAACCCAAACAAAAAACCCAACAACCATACCATAATGAATGTTTCCAAAAATTAAATTTCCTCTTTAATTAAGTTTGGCATATCACTTTTAAAGGAAGTATATATTTTTATTTCTTGCTATCTTCTTTCACGTCTGTGGTTTTTTGTTATGTGTATATAGATATGCATGTGTATTTAACTATTTATTCTGCTATTTATGCTCCCACAACCTTCACCATTGCTGTTGCTCTCTGGTAACTGTGTGTCATTTGAAACTAGGCAAGACATTGAAGCAGAAGGGCTTTGACAACGTGGGTTTTTTTGATTTTGCATGTGTCTCTTTAGTTTCAAAATATCAGCCAGTGACATTTTTCATTTGTTGATTTAAAGGATGAGTTGTCAGAGTAGGAAAAAGATGTATGGAGCTTACAGTTGGCAATGGCACAGTTGAGAGCCTCTGGCTAAGAATCAAGAGACAAACAAATAATGTGGATGTCATCGTGGGAGTCTGCTGTAGACCTCCTAGCCAGGATGATGATGCAGAAGAATTATTCTTTGAGGAGCTAAAGGATGCTTCCAAGTCAACTTCCCTTGTCCTTATGAGGGGCTTCAGCTTGCCAGAAATTAACTGGGATCATCACACAGCTGGTAAAGCCCAGGTAAGATGATTCTTAAAAAACTTGGGTGACAACTTCACTTTAAGGGAGCTGACTCAGAAAGACGCCCTCCTTGATCTGCTGCTTGTCAAGAGAGGATCTAGCAATCCTCTAGTAATGATTGGCAGCTGCTGAGGCCACAGGGATCGTGAAGCGACTCAGTTTAAAATCTTTGATGGGAGGAGGAGAAGTGCCAGCAAAACATCAGCTCTGGAAATAAGGAGAGAAGACTTCAGGGTGCTCAGGCAATTAGGGAGTAAGGTCCCCATGGAAAACATTTTTGCAGGTACTGGGGTCTATCAGTGGTGGTCACTTTATAAACGTCCCCTCCTAAGGGCACAAGAGCAGACAGTTCCTAAGTGTTGGAAGTCAAGTAGACAAGGCAGAAGGTTGTCTAGGATGAACAGGGATCTTCTCTTAAAAATAAGACAGCATTTTGTGTATTTCTCCCCCCAGACTGTTGTGTGCAGACCCTGAATTTCTTGTGTTTACTGCCACGTCATTCCTGAGCTATAGAAATTCATATGAAGTGCTCAGAACGGTAGATTCCCAGAACAGCTTGGGATTACCAGTACCAGCTGATCCACAGGACTGGGCTGTGAAAAGAGGTTGTGTTTTTGCAGGGGAGAATGTATTAGCAGGCCAAAACTGACAACAGTGTTTTCATAGTCCCAAACCATCAGGTTTGGAAGCACATAAGTCCTGTAATTTGTATTTAACATAGCTGTCTGACTGTCCTTGCATGGACCTCTGCAGGAACTTAACACCCTCATTTAAATAAACTTAACAATAAAGTATATATTAAAAGAAAACCCAACAAAACAGCATGGGGACTGACACCCCTCTACAGATGTTTACCTCTCAGGAGAGCCATCTTCTGATGGAATTACTAAACATGATGAATTCTGGATGAATTCTTTTCAGATGAAAACACCTGTGTTCTCTGTTCACTTTAGAAACTCCCAAGGCAAAGTATATTCTAGCCAGCCCATCCAATGAAACTCAGCATTGTGTCACATCACATTCTGATAAAGTGTATATCCTTTGAAATGAAATGGTTATTTTCTGCTTTGTTTTACTCATTCCTGTTCAACCAAGCATTACTGGGAGAGCTAACAAAGAGTGGAGAAACTTTAAAACTTCCTTTTAAAGCCAAACTGTTGTATGCAGCCTACTTAGATTTTGTATAGAGATTTTGAAGGCAGAATAATTGGAGTTTTATTGCAGGAAAAAGTGTCTATCCTATTTAGGCTGCAGACCTGTAGTGGAGCTAACACCATCTCACGGCATTTTTTTAGTCTACAGTGTGTCTATAGTTTTGTCACATGTCTACATATTTGGGACCTGTTTATCCCATTCTGATCCTATTTTGGAGGATGAAATGTCCTCTGTATCACCCTATCTGTCCTGTGCCTGAATTGTAATGCACTTAGAGCAAGATGATTTTCAGATACTTAATTTCCATTTACTAAACACATCTTACAAGGGTGACCACAAACCTCTTTAGGTTTCCTGCCTTCTATCTGAGTGCATCTTTGTTGCATTCAACAAAATATGTTTAAGTAGTGGCTTTACTGCAATAGCCCCAAAGTACAGGAAATAAAAAATAGCACTGTGAGGTGCTTAGTTAGATATTGAGACAATGGAGATCAATATAAGACATCTGCCTGCTGCACTCATTCCAGCTGAGCAGACCCTTTTTGTCTGAGGTTCCAGAGAAACTGCAGATTTCTCAGCCAGTGACTGATGTTCCTGAAGAAGTGAATTATTTACTAGTAAATATATGACACTGGTATTTTTAGTCTCTTGCTATTAATTGTGGAGAGAAAAAGACTGCTTTTCATTCCTTAAAGTAAAATAAAAAAAGGACTTCTCTACAACAGCAGCTGACTTACAACGAAGATTGTATTTTATGCCCAATAGGAGGATATAGGAGCAGACACATCTGTCAGGCCTGTTCCTTCCTTCCTTCCTTCCCAGTAAGGGTGGTAATAGGGAGGTGTTTTTGCTAGTGTTCCTATAGCCTTTGTAAAATACATTGTAGGTGAGAAACATTTGCAAGGCTTATCTTTCTTTAAAGTGCTTTC